AAAGAAAAGACAGGCATATGAGTTGAACATTTACCTGAGGTAGATCATTGGAGAGATCAAACATGGGAGAAAGAAGGGCTATTTATGCACAGGGAGACAGCTCAGGGGGCAGGAGTTCATGGAGGTATGGACAAAGGGAAGAGGTAACTATTGGGAGGAAGTGGAAGGGGAGCTATTGCATGTGGTAAACTGTAGTCAATGTCATGAGACAAAAAGTGTATATGAACTGCTGTATGGAAAGTGAATTTGCTCTGTAAATCTTCACCCAAATCACAACAACAACAACAAAAAAATACCCAATCTGATCTAGAGTGAGAAAATAGACTTTAAAAAAGTGAGCAGAGCCTCAGATACCTATGAGACTATCGCAAAGGACCTAACATCCATGCCACTGGAGTCCCAGAAGAAGAGAAAGGAGGGGCTGAAAAAATACTTAAAGAAATAATGATTAAATTTTTCCATATTTGGCAACAGACATAAGCCTACAGACTCAAGAAGCTGAGTGAATCCCCAGCAGGTTAAACTCAAAGAAATCCACCCCAAAATACATCAAACTTCTGAAAACTAAAGAAAAAAACAACCCACAAAAACTTGAAAGCAGTGAGAGAGAAATGTCACCTTATCTCTGTCGTTGTTGTTGTTGTTATGTGCCGTCCAGTCGCACCCGACTCATAGCAACCCCTCCTTGGGTTTCCAGGCACTATCACTATGGAGGGAGCTCTGGTAGTGTAGTGCCTAAGGCACTTGACTGTTAACCAGAAGGCTGGCAATTCAAACCCACCAGCCACTCCTCGGAAGGAAGGTTGGGCAATCTACTTCTGTAATGATATTGCCTCAGAAACCCAAGGAGGGGTCACTGTGAGTCTGGTCCGACTCCACGGCACATAACAATGACAACAACAACATCACTACGGAAGTAAATTGCCCCATCTTCCTTCTGAGGAGTGGCTGATGGGTTTGATCCGCCAGCCTTCTGGTTAGCAGTCAAGTGCCTTAGGCACTACACTACCAGAGCTCCCCACCTTATTTCTAGGTATAAAATAATTTCAACAGCAGTGGGTTTCTCATCAGAAACCACAGAGGGTAGAAGGAAGAGGCAGAACATATTTTAAGTGCTGAAAGAAGGGAATTGTTCACCCAGAATCCTATATCTGGTGATAATATCCTTTAGAAATGAAAGGGAAATAAAAAATTCTCAGACTAAGGAAAGCTAAGAGAATTTATCGACAGCAGACACATCCTAAAAGAATGGCTAAAAGAAGTTCTCAAAACAGAAAGGAAATGATATAAGAAGGAACTTTGGAGTATCAGGAAAGGAGAAAGAAGAGAGGAAGCAAAATATGGGTAAATACAATAGACTTTCCTTCTCCTCTTGAGTTGTCTAAACTATCCTTATGCTTGAAATAAAAAATATAACATTATCTGATGTAGATCTCAATGTGTGCAGGGAAGATATTTAGGATAATCATAAATGGGAAGGATAAAGAAAATTAAAGGGAATTAAGATTTCTACACTTAACCTGGCAAATGTCTAAACCAGTAATCTTTGTGGTGAAATTGTTTTGCATCTTGATTGAAGTGGTTGTTAAAAGAGTCTTCACGTGTAATAAAATGGCATAGAACTGCACACACATTATATTAATGTCAATATTCTGGTTTTGATATTGTACTACAATTAGGTAAGATGCAATCATTGGGGGAAACTGAGTGAAGGGTACATGGGACCTCTCTGTACAATCTTTGCAACTTTCTGTAAATTTATAATTATTTCAAAATAAAAAGTTTAAAAATATTTTTAGGACTGTTCTAGATTAAAAGCGATTAAAGAAACAAATGCAGTGTGAGAATGTTGATTAGATTCTGATTTTTTAAATATTAAAGGCAAATTTTGGGAAAATTCTAACATAGACTAGACATTAGATAATATGAAATTATTGTTAATTTTCTTAGATGTCATAACAATATTGTGGTTATGTGGGAGAATGTATTTATTCCTAAGAGATGAATTTAGGGGTGAAGTATAATGAAGTCTGTAATATATTTTTAAATGTTTCAGAGAAAAGTATGTATCTATCTATTATCTATATATTACCTATCTATCTAGACATAGTGAGAGAGAAAATATAACAAAACATTACCGATTATTGATTCTATGAGGAGGATATATGATGTTCATTATACTTTCCACTTTTCTGTATGTTTGTAATTGTTCATTTAAAAAAGTCTGGAGGGCTATGTGGAAGATAGGTGATAAAGCAAACATAGTAAAATATTAATTGTAGAATCTAGGTGATAGATAATTGGGTAATCAGTGTAAAATTCATTAACTTTTTCTGTATGTTTGAAATTTTCATATTAAAATGTTGGTGTTAAAAACTTGAAGGAAAAATATCATAACCTGGTGTCCTCCCCTAACAATCTCAATCCCCCTTATTCTGCTCTACTTTTTCTTTTTCCCATAGCACTTACCACTGTATAAGAAGCCCTGGCTAAATCACTTGGCTATTAACCAAAGGTTTGTGGTTCAAATCCATGAGCTTCTCCATGGGAGAAAGATGTGACAGTTTGCTTCCATAATGATTTACAGCCATGGAACCCCTATGGGGCAATTCTACTCTGTCCTATAATGTCACTGAGTTGGAATCGACTCAACAGCAGTGGGTTTGGTTAGGTTTTGGTTTTATCACCATATAACTACATAATTCACTTATTTATTGTGCTTCTTTTTGTCTGTCTTCTCTCAATAGAATGTAAGCTCCACAGGGCAGGGATTTTGTCTGTATTTCTCTGTATCCCTAGATCCTTTAGAACAGTGTCTAGCACAGAGCAAGTGCTCAATAATCAAAGAATCTCTATCTCTTGTCAAGGTCTTGCACAGAGTGGGTGCTCAATGAATGTTTGTTGAACTGAGATCCAAGTTCTGCAGGAGAACTTAAAATAGACCTGTTATACTACAGTGGTTCAGATCATGGTCTTTAGAGTCAAACGACCAGGATTTGAATTTTCATTCTGTCACTTCCTAGCTGGGTTAACCTCCCTGAGCCTCAATTTCCCATTGGTAAGATTAAGATAATAATAGTACCACCTTGGTAGAGATTTTATTTGCCATAAAGAGCTTAGGACTTTATAAAGACTAAATAATTGGTAGCTAAAATCAAAATAACAAAAAGATAGAGCCTTCCTAGTATGTCATCCTTCCTCTGTCCTACATCAGGCTGAGCCAGGAAAGGCTGAGGAGATATCTTTGGACAGGTATTCTCAAGTTCTCCAGACCCATGGATGGACTGGTTTCTCTCCTTTCAGATCTCTTCTTCCCTTTACTCCTGTGCTGAACTCTCTTCTTGACATCCTGAAGCTCTTTTCTCCACCCTAACAATTTGGGGATGAAGTCAATGAGATAAGAACCTGCGGGCCCAGGGACAAGGACTGACTGCTTTCCTTTCCTCCCTTATCTAGGGCTGAGTCCTAAACTGATAATGATAGTGTGAGATTCTGGTCATTTCAGGGCATAGAGGTTGAGAGAACAGTAGTCCTGAGGAGGCAGCATTGGCAGGAGAGCTAGCCCTGTGTGCTTCCCTCTTCCTTGGTCTTCTATAAGAGAGAACAACACCTCCTTCACCCTGCTCCAACGTCCCTTCAGTCTGTTCTGCTGCTTCAAGTCTTTACTTCTAGTGGCCCCAGCTGAGAGCAAACCCTGGGGAACCATTGAACATCTCTCTGCAACTCTCTCTTAGAAGTGGGGTGGGGTGGAGTGAGCCGAGGAGGGGTTGAAATTGAGGGTAGAGGGACAGGAGATTGAGGGCTGGCTGAACTGTCCCATGGTCTAAGCCCCCTGCCCCCACCTTGAGATCAACGGTATTCCCCTACATCCAGTGGAGCTAGAGCTGAGCTAGGGGCGCCACCGCTTCTGTTCCTTTAAGGAGCTGCTGTTTAGCATTCCTGCCGCTGCCGCTGCCTGACTCTGCGCCCTGATTGGCTGGAATCAACTGAGAAAGGAGCCAGGGAGAGATGCTCTTGACTCCACTCAGATCCATCCTTGGGACCAGAGCAGAAGCGGTCCTCACAGCATCCAGCCTCTGCACAAGCTCCCGTTTCTTCTTCGTCGCTGGGCCTTGGCCCAGGAGCCACCACAAGCGACACGGAGCCGCCAGTGCTGGAGGGGGAGCCGTGGGTGCGGGGCAGCGTGGGGGCAGAGGCCCCGGGACGCCCTCCTGGCCCCAGGCCCCGTTCTGCCCGGGCACCCCCACGGGTGCCCCCCCCTTCCTGGTCGGAGCAGTGCGAGTGTGCCCGGGAGCCCGGCAGCGGCGGCGTGGAAACCGGCGTGGGCTGGGGAGTCCGAGCCGCGGGGGGCAGTGCCATGCACAAGCACCAGCACTGCTGTAAGTGCCCCGAGTGCTATGAGGTGACCCGCCTAGCCGCCCTGCGGCGCCTCGAGCCTCCGGGCTACGGAGACTGGCAGGTGCCTGACCCCTACGGTCCAGGTGGAAGCAATGGGGCCAGTGCAGGTTATGGGGGCTACAGCTCGCAGACCCTGCCCTCGCAGGCGGGGGCCACCCCCACGCCCCGCACCAAGGCCAAGCTTATCCC